GGCGGGGAAGCATCCGGCCCGGGGGGGCTGCTCTCAAAACGGAGGCACTGGAGCATGTCAATGGTGCATTCGCTGAGGGGCAGGCAGATCCCCTCTCTGTCCGGGGAGAGGATGGGCGAGTCGTCGGGCAGGAGGTCATCCAGGGCCTCGGAGGAGTCGGAGCCGCTGCCCAAAATATCCCGTAAACTGTAGTAGAGGGCACAGGAGATGGTCAGAGGCAGGTCCAGCTTGGTGTCCGCAGCAGAGCCGAGGGGCAGCGTCAGCTCCCTCTTGTTCCCAGGGAGGAGCTGGTCGATGGGGAAGGTGAAGGTGGTGGCCGAATCCACAGATTCCTCCTCTAAGGCACAGGGGCTGGCCAGGAGCTGGACGCAGAGGGTCCAGCCCTCCTCCAGGCTGTACTCGCTGCAGTTCTCCAGCAGACAGGAGATGGTGATGGTATCTTGGAGCAGGAGGCAGCTCCAGTTGGCAGTGACAGTGCAAGCAATGGGCTTCTGGCCTTCCTGGCTGGACAGCAAAGCCGCGCTCACGTTCATCACCTGGTTCAGGCTGGCCAGGGCTCGGTTCTTCTGGTCCACTGCCTTCTTCAGGAAGGAAACTCTGCAAGGACAACACGTCGGCGCTGAAACAGCAGGAGGGACGGCGGCCAGGAGGCTGGGTCAGCCACGGGGACCTGGCAGAGGCCGGTGCCAAAGGCTGCTGCCCGCAGGGTGCTGTGCCACGAGAACGAGATCTACCTCTCCAACGGCAGCGAGTTCGTCTACGTCTACGACCAGGAGGGAAAGGTGCTGAAGGTGAGCGGCCTGGTGGCGGGGGGCTTCACCCGCGTCCCCCGGGCTGGGAGGGTGCTCTGGGGCCGCTGGTCCGGGGCAGGGTGATGGTGTCAGGGGCGTCAGTCTCCCAGTCTGGGGCCAAACTCCTTCCTGGGGTCCTTCCGTCAGGGTCCCCCCCATCCACAAACAAACTTGACGAGCAGCTCCAGGCCACCTTAACCGGCTCCGAGGCCCCCTCTGGGAGCAGGGGGGTGCTGCTGTCTGGCCCCTCGCCTAAACTTGCGAGACAAACATTTAATTAAAGTAGAAAAGGTTTTTTCCCTCCCTGAGCGAAGTGACGTCCCTTTGATTTCTCACCTACAAAGGGTTTCGCTATTGTCTTTGCTGTGACTAACAGCAGTCGTCGTGTTGAGTTATACACGGCTTCTTTTTTTAATTTGTTCTTATTATCATTTCTAAGAAAGCCATCGCTGTAATATCAGGATTTGCCTCCTACACTGCGCTCCCTCTCAGGAAAGTAGAGCACGTACCGGCTTTCTGATCGCTGTTTGCCTTCCCCTCGGGGAGTGTGAGTGACGGGCTGCCTCCCCCCCCAACAGCCCCTCTCCCGACCCCCTGCTGCTCTTCACCGAGGGCACCTGCCCCCCACCTATGAAAGCCCGGCTGGGTCCTGCCCAGATTTATTCCAGGAGATTCCTTAGAATCTGCGGTTGCAGGAAATAACCCCTTTAATTCGCAGTTGGGGTTGCCCAGCGAGGGGTTTATTTCTTTACCCTGCGGGTGTGAGCAGGGCTCTGCCCGCCCTGGCAGCGTGGGCCCCGGGGCTCCCTCGCCCCGCAGCCCTGTCCCCACTGTCCCTCTGGGTGACTTTTCTTTCTGCTTTTCCCCCCAGGCCGTGTACCGCTGCCCCGACCAGGTGTGGCACGTGGAGCTGCTGCCCCAGCCCCGGCAGCTCTACATCCTCTGTGCCCACAGCGGCATTTACTGCGTCTCCCTGGACCAGCAGAGCAGGTGAGCCGGTTGCCACCCCCAGAGTGCAGAAGCCAGCCCCATGCTGTTCGCCCTGGAGTTCTGGGGCAGCTTCTCACGGGCCGGGGCAACGTGTTGGGGTTTCCACCGCTGCCCTCTCCCTGCCCGTCCTCCCGCAGGCCCCGGGAGCGTTCGGCGGGCGGAAGCTCTGGCTCTCTCTGGGTCGCTGCTCTCACAGCAGATGCTAAAAGCTGTGCTGCAGGGAGCTTCTTTCCGAGGGCCAGGGTGAGAGGCGGCCAAGGGAAGCGCTGGCTTCGCCCCACGGCTTGGCTGAGAGCTCTTCCCTCTCTGCTTGAAGGTTAATGGAGCAGACGGATGGCGACGGCCAAGAAAGCAATTGCCCTTCCGGCATCTTCCCTGTGGACTCGGACGCCTGCATCTTCCCAGACTCCAGCCTGTGCATGTTCACTCTGCTCAACAACTTCGTCATCACCTTGTCCCAGGCTCACGGCAAATGGTGGATGAAACTGCACGAGCTCCCCCACCCCGAGCAGGAGAGTCCCCCGTACCGGCAGATCAGCGAGGTGGGCTTCTGCCCCGGCCCCCCGCCCGGGGACGAGGGGGACGCTCCCCCCTCCCGCTTCCTGCCCGTCCTGTGCTGCGCGTCCTCCCCAGGCACCGTGGGATCCGGGGAGGGGCTGTGGTGCTCGGGGGGCTTCGTGCTGGAAGAGCCCCTCTTCAGCCTGCTCTTCGGGATCGACGCTGCCATGCTGGAGTCTCCGATGATCCTCTGCGGCTTCCCTGACGGACAGCTCTGCTCCGTGCCGCTGAAGGCCCTCAGCTCTTCGACGACCGTCGACGGCTGCCACGACGTTTCCAACCAAGACCCCCCCGTGAAGATCCTCCATCATTTGGAAGAACCTATCGTCTTCATCGGGGCCTTGAGAACGGAGCGGAGGGCGGCAGACGATGCCGAGGATGACCAGCTCTTTGGAGACGCTGGCTGTGACTGCGTGGTGGCCGTGGGCCACTATGGGAAGATGGTGGCCGTCAAGGCGGATCAGAGGGAGGAGGCGACGGTGCCGGAGCTCAGGGAATACTACTTACGTGGGCCCATTCTCTGCGCCGCCTGCGGCAGCGGCAGCCGGATGTATTACAGCACGCACTCGGACATCTCCGCCGTCGACCTGGACTGGGTCGGCGATTCCTCCGACCCCGAGGACGCGGAGAGCTGCGCTGGCGTCCTGCCTCCCGTCCTGTCTCCGGCCAGTTTAAGTATCTGTAGCGTTGTGGCTCTTTCCTTGTCTTCTCGGGCGTCAGAAGGTACTGCCGGCAGCGGGGCGTGCGCTGGGTCTTGGGGTGGAGCGGGGCAGGATAGCTGCCTATTCCGGCCCGTACGTCTCCACCCCTCCTTACGGTCCAGATTGGGCTCCATCCTCCATCCGTTCTTGTTGACTCCCCTCGTTTTTGTAAGTCGTTTCTGTCGAGCATGCCGACTCGGGCTGAACGCGAGGCGTGCTGGCAGCTCCGGCTCTTCCCCGCCTGTCCCGCGGTTCCTCTCTGCTCGGCGGCGGCGCAGGAGGCGGCCAATTCCCCCCCGGGATGCTCGCACCGGGGGGAGGGCAGCCGGCAGGGAGCCCCGAGTGACCAGGGACGAGACTCGCCCCCAGAAAGGGGAAATTTTGGGTCTGGACCGGGGGCTTCTGCGTGGCCACTCGGAGCCTGCACGTGCTGCGCTCGCGGCCCCGCAGCTGATGACGTGTGTCCCCGCTGCAGCCGGCTCTCGCCCTCTGGAGCGCGGGAAGGGAGCAGAGTGTCAGGATGGGGTGGAGTGGGGGGTGTGGAAAAGCGTTTTGTAGCTGTAGCTGAGCCCGTTGCACGGGGCTGGAACAGGCAGGCGAGTGAGAAGACGCTCCTGGGGCACCCAGCAAAGCAGGCAGCCCTGCCTGCCCCCAGCCCCGCTCGCTGCATGCGGCTCGCTGCCGGGCACCCTGCATGGCACCCCCAGGGCGCTGCAGCCCCCCCGACTCGGTGCCTCCCCCCAGCTGCTCCTGGCCTTGGCTTGGGGGTGGCCAGCTCCGGGAAGCATGGCTGGGGCGCCGGGGCTGTCAGGAGCCCGCGGGGCCAGGCCAGGCATGAGGCGGGGGGGTGGCGTTGCCCTTCTCGGGGAGCTGCGCGCGAGGCGGACGTGCTGTCGTGGTCCGTGTCCTGTCTGCGTCGCACCCCTCGGCAGAGGGAGGCCATCCCGCTGTCCTGCGGCAGGCAGCGCCATCCTGTGCTCCCCCATCCCCCC